ATTATTATTATTATTATTATTATTATTATTATTATTACGATACCAGGTATGAGAGTTGGCTGCTGCAGCAGAACTCTTTGCATTAGCCGAACAACTCTGATGTGTTCCTTTCCTGCTCTCTGCAGAAGAGGCGCCGGTGAAGAAGCTGCCCGTGTCCAAGTTTGGCCCCAGACCCCGCTTTGAGCCCGTGCACTTTGTCAGCAGCAGCGGTACGGAGGAGAAGCAGAGCAGGAAGGGGGAGCGGGACAGTCCTGGACAGACGGACTTCGAGCACTCGCCAGAATCGAACAGCAGCCGCCCAGCCCACGGCAGGCAGGGCCCCTCTTTCCAGAATGCCAAGCCCTATGTTTTCGACGCGTGGGCTGATGGGGATGACAAGGACGTGGGGTCGAACGCCTGCGGCCTGGGTTTCGGGAGCCGAAGCGGCTCCGCGGGCTTCATGCTGAAAACGCAGCAGGACTACTGTGCCAAGCTCGAGGCGCATCGCTCCAGGCGGCCGGAGGCTTCCCGGGGCTCCGTGTCCGAGTCGGCGGAGGCCGGCGGTCCGGCGGGCAGCCGGGACTCTCGCAGGGGCCTGGGGTTCGGGAATCAGGACAGCGCGGCGGCGGCCAGGGCGGCCGACTCCCCGGGCGACGGCAGCCTTGCTCACCAGAGCGGCGACCTGGCGTCTGCCCTCGAGAAGACGCAGAAGCTGGTCGCCAGAGTGGCGTCGGCGATGGCCGCCACTTACAAGGACCCCACGTCGATGAGCGGCCCAGACACGCCGAACTATAACTTCATACTGAGCCGCAGCATCCAGGCTTGCAAAACCAACCCGGAGTACATCTACGTGAACCTCAAGGAGATTGCACCGGGCGACCTGCCGAAAAACAGGAAGGTGCCCTCCGATGGGTACGCTTGTGAACTGAGGTGCAAACGCGTTTATTTAGCCACTGGGTACTCTGGGAGCAAGAACGGAGCCAGGGACCGGGCCTCCGAGCAGGCGGTCAAACTCTTCCTGAGGCCTGTGGAGGTGAGGGTCATCCAGCGCAAGTTCAGGCGCACTTACGTCAGCGACCTCGTGGTCTGCCAGCGGCACTTGCCGACTCCCCACTTTCCACCGGCGCTGTGCAACCCGGAGGACACGCCTCCGCCGAGTTCGAGGGGCCAGTACGAGCCGGACCCGCGGAAGCACTGGACCGAGTTCGTGATCGTGGAGAACGCGCACGACGCCATCTGCATCCTCAACAACTCGGCCGCCTTCAACCGGATGAAGATCGACTACAAGTTCGAGGTGATCCCCAACACGAGCTCCTGGCAGTGCAGCGTCTACCTGCAGGACGAGCTCGTGGCGCAGGCGGCCGGCAACAAGAAGACCTCGAAGCACGCGGCGGCGGAGGAGGCCCTGCGCAAGCTGCGGCTCAACCAGGCCAGCCGCCAGCAGCAGCAGCAGTTCCCCCAGGGGAACCACGGCTCCGAGTTCCCGGGCGGCCGTTTCGGCCAGCACGGCAGGAGGAAGCACCTGAGTGAGCTGGTCATTCTGGAGAACTCGGACAACGCCATCTGCATCCTCAACGACACGGCGCAGTTCAACAAGGTGAGCGCCGACTACAAGTTCGTGGTGCTGGCGGACCACCGCTGGAAGTGCGAGGTGTACCTGGAGGGCCAGTTCGTGGCGGCGGGGATCGGGCCCAAGAAGGCCGTGAAGCACATCGCGGCGGAGGAGGCCCTGGCCAAGCTGAGGCAGACGCAGGCCGTGGTGAAGTCGAACCTCAGGAAGGAGGGCAACGAGGACGCCATCTCCCGCAAGCAGATCCTGCGCCTGTCCGGGGAGGAGGCGCAGAAGCAGGAGATCAAGGAGGACAACATCGGGAACCAGCTGCTGCGCAAGATGGGCTGGAAGGGGGGCGGGCTGGGCCGGGAGGGCGAGGGCATCACGGAGCCCATCAAGGTGAAGGAGCAGTTCACGAGGGAGGGCCTCGGGCTGGACGTGGACAGGGGCGGGAACCAGCTGAACAAGAGGGACATCGAGGAGATCATCCGCAACTACGCCAGCTCGGACAGGCAGGACGACCTGCGGTTCTCTTCGGAGCTGAACAACGAGGAGCGCAAGCAGATCCACCAGATGGCCCAGAAGTATGGGCTGCGCAGCAAGTCCTACGGCCAGGCCATGCAGCGCTTCCTCGTTGTCAGCAGGAAGGTGCAGAAGGAACAGCTGATCGGGCAGCTTTTCCAGGAAGGGCAGGTTGGCCGCTACGAGCTGGTGAAGCCCCAGGCTTCTCACTGACTGGACTGGTTCGTACCTGGCACATGGCGAGGGCTGCTGGTACCTTATTTTAACAGAATGTGCACTTCATACGTGGCAGGGGGGGAACAAAGAGCTTTTATCATTTTTCTAAGGACGCAGTTATAAAAAGACTCTCTTGGCAGACTTCATTATCGTTTCTATTCCATGGTCCGTGAAGTGTACTCTCACTTTGGCACAACCCTTTCGAAGTCAGTATTTAGGTTTTCTTTTCTCCTTTTTTTTTGTATAGGAAGACCACTTTTCACTATAACCTTTCAAAAGCGAAACCCGTCATTCCTCAGATCCGTGTTGGAAATCTGCTGTACCTTTGACATGAGTGTATGTGTTTGTTTTGGGACTGAACTGCAGGTTGCACCATGTACTGTAATACCAACACTCTACCTTGATCATCATGAGAACTTGAAAACCTAGAACATCTTTCGTGTTTCATTGTTGAAATGTATGAATTTAAAACTGGATTATAACAGTATACATTGAACTGAACACTTCTAACCATGCTGTAACCTTTACAGACATCTTTCAATAAAATAGAAGGTTGTGGCAGAAAAAATATAAGTTCTAACAGAATGCCTTTCTGATAAAACTTGCATTTCAGCATCTAGTAAGGTGAACTGAATGGTTTTCTTAGTTGTAGCCATACTTGGAGCCTGCTTCCAGAGCATTGTTCTGGAACTGCTGTCCTGAATCTTAAGTCTCTTCTGGGTTTCAGTCCATTTGAGCTCAGGCCTTCATTGGATCAATGAGTTGCTTAGTTAGGAGGGGTTAACGTACGTTGCATGTTTTTACTTGACTAATTTAAGCTGCCTCTGCGCCGACCACTCTCCTAGATTCTTGTGAACAGTCAAAGCAGATGTGACCCCGTGGCAGTGAGAACGGTAGATGCAAAGGGCTTTATCTTTAAACGCAGGAGAGTTTCAGAGCTGTCTTAGCCCTGGAGATCTTCTAGAGGACGAAAGCCCCTGCCTGGATAGACACAACGATACCTTTGTGGTTAAGACCAGCTCAGTGAGCGATAGACGAACCCCACCTCGGGTAGTCCAAAAATTGAAGAGCCTCTGGCGTCCTGGACTGGAAACGCTGTGTTAGAGAGAAGTCAGTGCATGGAAAAGGATGGTGGAAGGAATGCAAACAAAGAAAGGAAAGCTCAGAGTGATTTGGGTGGTGCAGCACAGTTTTTGTTACAAGAAATAACATGTAGTTGCAGCATCATATATTCCATGTGTTAATGAGTTTTCACTATCTTCTTGAACAGTGTCATCGGTGTAGGATCATTTAAAAAGCACAGCTGTCTTTGTAAGCAAAGGGTCTTGGACTATAGTGACCACTGAAATTCAAATGTTTTTTTTTTCATATGAATACCAATGACACATCTGGTTTCCATTCCTCTAGTTAAGGGTTTCATTTAATTTTCATTTTTCAAGGGTCTTCCCGTCTCCATTTACAGTTTTTAATAACCCTGAATTCAGGAAGGGGGAAAATAAGTAATCATCTAGAACAACAGTGCTCTCTCTGTAAATTGTAATAATTTAAGGACAGTATATCCAAGTGTAAACAGTCTTGGTGCTTGTGTGTTGTAACAATTATACCTCTTATTTGGATGCAGGTCTTTCATGGCTTAACGAAAGATTTTGTTTAAGAAAATGGTTAATTCTTGGTTGATGTATGTAAAGCACAAATACAGTATTTTTGTCAATAAGTTCTGCACTACAATGTGTTTTCGAACTGTGAATATCTTACAAAATGGCATTGGTCAGTTTTTTTTTATATTAGAAGAGACTGTCCTGTCGGCCAACTCCATTGCAGGCGGCACGTGGAGTCAGCTTTAGAATCAAAATGAGTTAAAAAGCTTCTGCAGAAGGAAGGGGACAGTTCATTAGAAGTAGGTGTATGCTGCTTTATCAGTGTTCCATTACACTACCCTCTGAGGGCTGACAATACTTGGGTGTAAAGTGTATCCCCTTTACTACCTAAAGAGCCTTAGGCTGAAACGTGGTCTTAAAAATAAAATAAATGATTTTTGCCATTACTAAAAGGTATTTTATGTATAGGACTCATAATTTAGTGCCATAAACCTTTCATAGTTCCAATTACTGCTGTATAAAAGACTTGCCACCCAGATTTCTAAAACCATTTACTTCAGGTTCTTCACAGGTATAAGTAAACTGTAGTTTTCCCTATAAATGGTCCTTGTGATAATGAGAACTGTATACTTCAAGGTTCATCCGAGGGGAGATTCTGATTTGAAGGTATAAATAATCCCATCTCTTCATCCCAATGCTTTTGCAGCTAAGCAACTTGCCTGAATCATTTGACCTATTAAAAGTCACCAGCCTATGATCCAGATAAAACACCAAACAATGTTTTTATCCTTTTATTTACAAGAAGTGAGAAAATGTACAGTTTCTTACATGGGTTACTAGTGCAGTTACAGTCACTTGTGGAGCATGTGCATTAGAAAAAGGAACATCCCATGTGCAGAAATGACATGGTCTCATCACTCTCATATCATTGCATTTGCCCAGTATCTGTAGAAAATGACAATTTCAGGCACTCAATGGGCCTTTTGTTGTAGCTTTTTTTTTTGAGGGGGAAGGGTCACAGAAACAATTTAAAAGAACCTATAAAAGTCACCAAGCAAAACATGCAGCATTTGCAATAGCAAAGACCTATACACGAAAAAGAGCTGACCCCCTGAAATGCCTAGAGGAAGAAGCACTTGCAGGTGGGATAACCTTCTCTGCTTATGGTGTAGAGCTCTTAACATCCTAAATCAAGTTGAGCTCGGTTTAGGAGTTTTTTACCTCTGGTGTTAATGAGCATTCAAAAACCTTGATTGCTGCCAGAAAACAAAAAAGGTTCCTGCTCTACTTCCATGATCCAAAACTCTTCTGATGTTGCAATATGTAAATAAACTTATAAAAATCTGATCTATATCTTGCCTAGAAAATGCTTGTTCCCAAGAATTAGTCAATTTATAGATCAACAAGAAGCACATAAATATTAAGAATTATTGGATTATTCTATGACAAAATGTTGTTCGTTCATGTAATTTGTGAAAGACTGCTGCCAAGTCACCTGTATTTCACTTCTGAAACGGCTGTGCGTGTAGGGATGTGAAATGCCACAGCTCATATACAATTGTAAAACCAGATGCATACATGTGTAATTGAGAAAGTGACATTAGCAGCTCTTAAAATGGATACCATTATTCTGTAATCCAGAGAGCTCTTCCCTTACACTCGTCAAGAAACTGCAAGACAGGTTGTTTGTCTACGATTTACATCATCAGTTACCTCATTCAACAGCAACAACACACACAGACAAAACCATTTTAAACTCCAGGAACAACGAAAGAAAAAAAGGCTTGCACTGTGTCAACATGAGCCAGCTGATGAGTAGGACCCTGATCCCTATTACAAGAACGGCCCTTTACAGCTACTGCAACCTGGAACAGAACTGTACACACGTCAGTCTCGACAAAAAAAAAATGAAGAGAACAAAAAATCCTGCTCGAGCTGCATGAGGAAAGACAGAAAAAAAAAAATCAGATTTAAAATCTGAAGATTAAGAAACGGACACGCCTGTCGCAAGTAACCCAGGTACAGTGTGGTACATTTACTTCAAGGAAGGTGCAATCCTGTCCAGGAGGCTAGGTTGTGAGTGGTGAGGGAGAAGGCGATGACGACACAGCGGCACTCTATCTTGCAACAATTACGGTACTGATGATGCTAGGAGGAGGAGGAGGAGGATGGCAATTCGGAAACGTGATGTTTATTATTTTTTCAAGAGATGTGTGTCTTCTCTTCCTTCGTCAATCTCGAGGCTGGATACTGTCCACGATGTGTGCGCGCACCCGCGCGAGGTCAACAATCGCGCCAGCTCTGCTCCACTATCGCCGACACGCGTTTCTCGTACTCGCGCTTGTTCTCCTGGTACAGCTGGGCTGCCTGGCTGTTGGCTGGGCTGTTGGGGTTCGGCTCGTCCAGTAAAGACTGGGGGGGCATAAAAAAATGACATTAAAAAAAAACAATGAACGTCTCTGAAGTTTAGCTCGTGACCTAAAGCAACGTTTCCCCACTGGTGACCCACATGCCTGTTGGTTTTTGTTCCAGCCCAGCCCTCAGTTATACAATCAAACTCCTCATTAACTGAACAACAGGAATAATCTGAACTGTTTGTTCCCAGCTCTTAAGACATGCTGGCGCTTCAGCCATTTTATTTTGCAAGTGAAACAAACTCCTGAACTTGTAGCTAGAAACGGAGGGCAAATGTTCCCTTGAAGCAACTTCTTAGATGAAGTCAGACTTCAATTCTCCAAGGACCAGCAGGTATGGGGGTCACCAGTGCCACGACTGGGAACCACTTCCCTTAAGTCTCGTAGAGCACATTTACATACTCTGATGAAGTTTATTTTCTAGGAAGCCCTCTAGCCACTGAAATTATTTCTACTTTTAGGCCCATATAAAAATGGGAAACAACGTTCGCTTTCTGCCTGCTATTTGTTTTTCATGCAAGTTAAATTTTATATTCCTTCCCCTCTGGTGTTTGTGTGCCTATTCTTTCCTTTCAAGTGGTAACAAGTTACACATGGTCCTCAGGGAGACGTGTTCTACACATGCGTGATGTTCACATCACCACATCACACTCAGTTGTAAAAGGCAAGGGCCGTGAGTTACAAACAGCAGGGCTCCGGCACATCAACCTGACCGTGTATCAGCTTGTCTGAAATGACCTGACCTGCTTTTATTCCCTAAAAGCTCTACCATTTCAAACATAAGGTGATATAAAATGATTTTCCAAATTCATAAGCCCTGTTTAAAAATGCAGCTGTATTTCCCCATCAGCAGTGACCACTGTTTTTAATAAGAACAAACCAAGACCTTTCAGGTCTACTTGCCTGTATAGAAGTTAAGATTGAGGAAACATCATAAGTTGGACTCCAGCGGTTTTGAAGAATGTCCAGACATATACTACCGTCTGCATAAACTGAAGTAATAACAGAGAAAACCACGATAAATCATACAAAAATAAAGTCAGCTCACCACCAAGTTCACATTTCTACGAGGTGTATCTATTGTCTGGCAACAATTAATGAATAAAATACATTTTTTTTAAATAAACACTTGTAATTTATAAACTTCTGTCTAAATCTGTATTCTGCATGAAATTCTGAACCAGAATCATTTTTAAAAAAATCATTTAAGAAACTATAATGCATATATTTTCTTTAGAAAGAAAATAAATTATGCAACAACTCAAATACTAGACTTTACTTTTTTATAAAGTTTGTATTTACTACATAATGGTTCTTAAACTTACATAAAATGATAAACAAATTCTGATGGGAGGATGGACAGAAATATGAAACAACAACATATATAATCCATAATAAAAGGTAAAACTGAAGGTTTGCACCAACTGCATTGACATCTTTTTACAAAAGTTAATCTTTACAAATATTTCCCACAGTGCACCAAAAGCTTGCCATTTTCTAGAGGCATAAATGTCGTCTACATGCTGTCACGTTAACTGCCACTATAATGAGTGAACTAACTTACCATTTGGATGAAACATTTTTGAAACAAAGCGAACTGTAGGAGGCTTATTGGGATATTCCTCTGTGAATTCTATTGTGAGCTTAAAGGTTCCTGGAAATCAAGAGAAGTCCTACATAAGCTTTTGTTTTTCACCTCCTGCTGCAAAAATATTTAAAACAGCTTAGCAAAAATGGAGATACAAACACCACAAAAAGTAAGAGTATGAAACCTAATCCTGCAACTCAATGAATATAATATTTCAGCATCTCTGAACTCTGGTGTGCACACAGAACTTCTACAGAATTTAAAGATTTTATATTCATCATCATATTCTCAACTCATTAAACATTGGTGCCAACTTCTAAATTTACAGACTTATGCATCTACAATTACTTGCAGAAATACTAATGATTAGAACAATTCCTCCAATAGGCACAGCCTTATTTAACCCTTCTGATATAACAATCACTGAAGAATAGTGCAAAGACGGCATTTCAGCAGAAGGCACAAGTGCAAACTCCATTACAGACAGATCTAAGGTCACAGAACAAGCCAGTCAGTCAAACAGCAAGCAGTGATGGGGCTCCAGTCTTCCAAAGACAGGGAAACGTGGGGTACGTGTATAATTATGAAATGACAGCTTCCAATGCAATCCTTATTTAAAGAAGATCAGCCAATCACCCGCTGCTCCTGCCTTAAATGTTACATCCATGATGTTAACAGTGGTATGTTTAATAATGGCCTCCTAATAATTGGCTTCATTGCTCTGTTCTCCTCCTCAATGATAGCTGCATCGTCCAGGTTGACCACACATTGGTGGTGGTGGTGGAGGGGAATCCCCATGACCTGTAAAGCTCTTTGATTATTAAAATCTTCAAGGCCACACTAGGACTGAATGACCAAATAATGTTTCGAATGGTAAAAAGAAGCAACAGAACTAGACACCAACGCAGCACTTGCAGCAATAAACTGACAAGAGTTTCTGTGTGACCTTTTCCTATGGTGCAAATCCGAGATATTCAGGTCATTACTTAGGGACCTTGGCAGCACAAGGCGTAATCCCTAGCAAGACTTCCTTTTGTCTGGCACCTTCCTCACAGTCGAACTCCCTGCTCCTGGGTGGCACTCCAAACCCAACACAGTTTACTTCCGTACCTTCTGTGCGCTGTGACATCAAAAGCCCAGCTGCTACACTTAAGCCAGAAGGGCAAGGTGCCAGCTCCCCTTACAATGAAACCCGAACACACAGGCTGTGCTCGCTTTGCTGCCCTTTCACCAGCGACTAGTATCTCCATGCACCACTCCAGCGCTGGGGTTTGTGCTCTGCGCCAACAATCCGCTGTCACAAACTGTGCAGGGTGTACAGGAGCAACACACACACACACCCTGGAATGTCAGACATCCAACTCCACGTGAAACCTTACTTGAATCTTTTGTTCCCTTTCCACGATCAACAAATAACCCTGCATCTGCCAAGCCACTCCATACTGTCAGTCAGAACTAGGTGCAGCAGGGAACTTGGGCTCTCCTGTCTTTCTAGAATTCTACCAAAGAACAGTGTGCATCTCTCACACTCCCAGCCTCTTTATTCTTACCAAAGCCAGGAGGATAAAAAGCACATGGTCTCACCTGCCACTGATTCACTCTGTGTACAGGCCTACAAGAATCCAGCCCAGTTTGGAAAGGACTAGATATTCTCCAGTGAAATCAGAAACTTTCTCCCAGCTACAGAAATGAATTCTTTATTTCTGAATTTAAACTCAGATGCACACACCTGGACTTACGGCCTAGATACTTTATTAAATCTCTTTGCTTAGTCTCTTAAGTTATTAACATGCAACAAATACAACATCTTGCTCAGGAATTAATCCAAATAAAAACAAGGGAACAGAAACTGACTCTTAAACGTGACATTAATATCAGATCTAACCACTCTCTAGAAAAATCCACAATAATTTAACGGCACAATGGTGCCTGGTGCCATTACATATTGAATGAATAAAATCACAATTAGGAACTTACCATCTTCAAATGGTGTTCCCTCGGGGCTACAGAAAGGAGAAAAAAAAAGAAAGAATTAGTGAACCTCAAAGCACAAACTAAAAAAGTGTTTTTCTTCCTTTAACAAAGAAAATCTAGAAGGTTAATCTGTGTCAACAGCCCTGAGATTAAAAACTAATCAGCATTTACATCAGAGCTGGTCATTGTAACCTTAGTGGCAACACTATCGGTATGGCTACTGTGAACACCGCATTCATTTCTCAGGTTTTAGATTTCTATAGAAGTGAAACCTGTGGTTCTATTTTTTTTAATAAAGCGCAGAAAAAGCATTAAGGAAAACAAATATACCATTACCAGCCTATCGCACACTTTTGTCTTTTGTATGAACAAAGGAAGTCTTAAAAAAATACAGACGTGCAATTATAACAGAAGGAAAAAAGTATAAAACCTGTCACCAGGTTCCTTCATTGTTATGTTAATAAAGAATGCAAGGCACAGAAACTTTTATCACACCCTTTACTCAGCCACCTCATCCGATTGCTCAGAAACAAGGCTGTGGGTTAGAAATGTTTAGTTTGTTTTGTTTGGGTGTGGTACTACCATTAATCCAGTTACTAAAAACCAGCCTTAATCCCACAGGTAGGAGACACCACACATCAGCGTTGTCTGAACTCCTTTGCATACTCATTTCCATAATTCTCAACCAACAGCCTAGATCTAGGCAGCGTTGATGCCGTCCACCCTTAGACACTGCAAATGATCTTTTTATTTTTTTCTATTTTTCCCCAATAAGGAATTAAGTCTCTGCGATGTGTCTGCTGTTATGGAATAGATTCAGCCCGAACTGAATCCAAGCGCAATTAGAACAGGCCGATGCTGGTCGCAGCTCAAGAGCCCGACAGTGCGGACAGCGGGGTCCGGGACCGGCTCTGGCCCAGTTTCGGAGCCCAGGCACCGGAGTGATCCATGACCCAGCAGAACAACACCGAACCACCGCCTGTTACGCCACTCAAGGCCTGTCGGGGTGTTGTGTGACGACCTGTTGCGCGACTGACACCCGGGGAAAGTGCATTAACACCACCGGACCGGCCACCGACACAGCAGCGTCTTCTCCACGGACCAGCTGTCGCGCATTGGACTGCAAAGCCCCACTGGAAACAGGCCAGAGAAACGCATAGTCACATTGTATTTTTTTTTTTTTAAAGTACCATCGCTGAACTGATGTCGCTGGTCCGCCTTGAAAGAGCGCACCCGGGACGATTCAATGTAAAGTACGAGAAGAGTATTAAAAAAAGATAGTTGATCGCTTTTTAACATTTCCTGTTGTAGATGTAGACGCGTCACACGACAGGAACAGTCGGCTTCTGTTTTTTTTGTGTGAGAATCAACTGTGTGATAAACAGGACAAGCAGGACAGGGGGGGGGGGACGGTCTTCTTTATGTTTTCCTTGGGACATTTCACAACACACACACACACACCCCCTTCCCCCCACCAAAAACACAAACAAACCAACAAACTAAGGACAGACTCTGTGTCAGAAACAAAAACGTGTGGCCATGCGGAACAACTCAAATGAAAAATCGGCGACGGAGACAGTAACGCAAGACTGCTCCATAAAACGTTGAAGGAAAAACAAAATCGCGCAAGTCCTAAAACGTGTATTTAACGCGAGGTGTCGGATACGTGTCGCGCAGCCAGGTGCTTTAAATAACCACCCTACACCGTGTCATACTTGTTGCCCAGCTGGAAGCACACGGACTGGGTATGAAAAAGCTCTTCCCGGCTCTGAAAGAGACTTCGACAGCTCTGACGTCTCTAGAAAAGGGAAGGAAAAAGCCAGCCACTGGCGTAAAGACGCTGTCCGCACAATTGTCTTCACAAACTTCGCTCCCGGGACCCGGTGCTAACCGGCTCTCCCGGCCACAGCGCTTCTCTCCCGGCGGCTGGAAAGGGCAACCGACTCGACTACGGAAAATAGAGGCGGTGGATTAAAAACGCGCACGGCCCGCCACTTACCCGAAAATAACCGCATTCCAGACCATGATGTTGTTCTCCGAGGGCGCTCCGCTGACGCCCGCAGGGGGGTCCTCCTGCAGCCTGATTCACAGAGACAACACAAAATAACACACTGCCTTGTTTCTGAGAGATCCTGTCATCAAAACTCTTCCCTATCCCGGAACGGCCGTTACGCCACATTGCTCGCGTAGGCCCCGCGGTCTCCGCCGCGGCGGACGCTGCGAAACTTGCGTAGCGCTCGGTCCCACTCCGCACAGTTTCTGAATAGTCGCCATGTTCGCCTCCTCTTTTTTTTTTCGGTCGCTACAAAACGCCCGAAGAAGCCTTCGACCCTCTTACCGTTTGAAGTCTCTCATTAAACGCCGTCTAGCTGGGGTTGACATCTTCGTGAAGGGGGAGGGAGGAAAAAAAAAAGTTAAAAATGAAACATAAGGCGGTCGTTTTCTGATTTTAGATGCCGGGAAGTCGAGCGCGACTCGGTTTTTTTAACCCCACAACCGAAGACGTATCTGACGCCCGTGCGGCTCTGTTTCCCGAGCCGGGATCTCGGAGGACTCAGGGCGATACCAACTCCGCCGCCCTGCCGTGGGGGAGGACCAACCCTATGTGGGCTCGGCCCGGCTCAAAACCACCCAACATTAAATCCCGTTTCCACCGCCCAGGGTCGGGGAAAATAAAGCAGCGGCTGTTCAATTCTCCAGTACTCCGGTTACTGCGAGCTCAAGTTTTGAAAGAGACGTGTTTTGCGCCGACAACCCCCCCCCCTCCTCCTCCTCCGGGTTTCAGAAGCCTATCGATCACAATGTGATTTTTTTTGTTCATTGCTTTGCTGGGTTAGTCTTGGCGTCAAATGTTTACCTGCAGGGCTGAAATACTGAGCGTGAACCAGACGTTTTTGCTTCCCCGACAAATGCCCTTTTTTTAAACAGTCCTCTAATTAAATAAATCACCAAAAAACATGTATACCATGCAAGAGCATTTGACAACCCGAGCCCAATTTATATGCGATTTGCTTTGCAGGTTAATTTTGCTTTATTACAAATCAAGTATAAACGGTATTCACTCAGTGACATCTTTGGCAATCAGTACTAATTTTGTTGTTAAACGATAATCCATACTATAATTTGACAGAAACCGAACATTTATATGTCGCCAAACTATTCAATCTAACAGACGTCTTCCAGGGCTGAAATAAGACCAAAAATATGGAACAAGGTCACGATTTCATAGGTAGTTGTGACTATGGATACAGTAATGTCATTAAGTCAAATAAAGCAAAATTTTAGTGTATAGAATCTGAATATTTTTAATTCCAAAAAAGACAATTAAAATAAATGTAATTTATTGAAAAATGATTAACGAGCATAATCCAAGAAATACCTATGGATAAACACAAGAAATACAAAGTGCCCTCAGCAACTGGTAACGTTCAAAACACTCAATACGGATCACATATTCAGGATTGCTAAAACTCAGTGAATCTGCCCCCATCCCTTTCCATTAAAAATAGGAGAAAATGACTCTAACCATCCAAAAAATAATTCTGTGCGATACTACTCTGAAGCAGAAGTATTTTTTAAAAGTTATAAAAATGACTGTATGTACGTTTTCTAGGCTAACTTGGTCCGTTTACAGTAGAAACCACCATTCCTCCCAAATTAAAATTAAATACTGTACAATAAAGTCTCGCAGTTCACCCGCGTACAGAATCTGCTAAACCGACCAACCTGCCGCTGGTTCAGAAGAGGGTGAAGGAGGATTCTGGGAGGAACACAGAGTTAAGTAGGTCTGGTGTTAATAGCAGCATCCGTGCTAAACAGCAGAATCAGAGTTTCAAAGAGTCAACGAGTAACAGACGAGAAATTCACAGTGAGATATTCCTTGTTTTGAGGGGACCACAGCCTGCTGCAAGCAAACTGTCAAGAGAGCACTTTACTGGAACCAGAGCTAAAAAAAATCATTTTAATTGCACTTACGCCCTCTCAAACCTAGAGTGGCCATGTGGTCACGGAAGAAACAACCCTGCCACGAGGGGGAAAAAAAAATCTAATTGTGCCTTTTCCACCCATTACGGCTCATATTAATTTATTACTTTGGGTTAATAGGAGTCGATACAGAAAGTAACAAAAAAGGAGACTATAAACATGTAAACATGCTCACTCGATGGGCACCGCAGGAATGTGAAACAACTGATTTTTAACACAAAACGCATCTCTTCTCGTATCTGAGGAAACGCAGAGGGACGTTTTACAGCACGCAGGCTGTGGATGCCTTCGGTGGCGTACGATACAGATGATGAACGGGTTGTGCAAATTTAACTGCACGACTACACAAAAGCATGTTGATGAACCCAGGAGAAGCAGGACATTCCAATACGTCCTGTTCGGACCCTTTCAAGAGTTTAACAACCTTCCAGCTACACTGTGTTTGGCACGTCACACCAGAGCTCCAAGATGTACTTAGTCTCAATATACAGGCTCTCGGCTCTTGAAGTTGCTTCAGCGCCCCCCTGTGGCGGTTCTGCTCGGGGTCACAGAGGGCTGCTCAGGCAGGACAAGGCTGGCACTTTCAGGGAAGGGTCTTCGGGCACCAGCTTCCTCAACAGGAACGAGAGCAACATCTGCAGAAACAGAACAGGAAGGCTCACATCCCTCTCATTAACCTTGTGATGAGTTAGCTGAGAAACAGAAAAAAAACTGTTCTGTTAATTGGCTTCTTTGGTGCTCTTTATTCTCTTCTTATAAGCAAAGGTTTTAATTATTGTTATTAATAATAAATAATAATAACAATAATAATAATTCCTTACACTTTATAAAGCAATTTTCTTGACACCCCACTCAACTTGCTTTACAGGTCACGGGGATCCCCTTCACCACCACCAGTGTGCAGCCCCACCTGGATGATGCGCCAGTACTCTCACACACACCAGCTCTCAGTGGGGAGGAGTGCAGTGATGAAGCCAGTTCAGAGATGGGGATTATTAGGAGGCCATGATTGGTAAGGGCCAATGGGAAATTTGGCCAGGACGCCGGGGTTACACCCCTACTCTTTTCAAGAAACCCTGGGATTTTTGAATGACCACAGAGAGTCAGGACCTCTGTTTTATGTCTGATCCAAAGGACGGCGCCTGTTTACAGTACAGTGTCCCCGTCACTATACTGGGGCATTAGGACCCACACAGACTACAGGGTGAGCGCCCCCTGCTGGCCCCACTAACACCACTAGAGTTTTACACACAGTGCCGCTATCATCATGTCTGGCATTACTCCGTGTCCTGTACAGAGATCTACTCACATAAACCAGCTTCTTGTTCTCTGCTTCGTTTTGGAAGATATCAAGTATGGCATCGACGTCGCTTTTATTTAAGACTTTTTTTAAATCTGAAAAAAGGAGAAAGGGCCGGCGTTAACACATCGCCCTCCAGCCCCGGCTCTCGGGGGGCCGGACGGGAGTGGGGGGGGGGGCGCGGCACACTCACACGGCACTTTGGTCTGCAGCAGCTCCCGTGCCTTCTGCTTGGTCTCGGCCCTCTGCTCGGCGGTCCTCTCCGGGGCCGGGCTGGGGCCGGGGCTGGGGCCGGCCGGCTGCCCCGCGGGCCACTGTTTCTCCCGCAGCGTGTCGATGTAGGAGGCCAGCCGGGCCTCCGTGAGGTTCAGGGTCCTGAAGTAAGCGTCCAGGTTCCTGGAGAGCGGCAGACACGCACAGACGTGAGGCCACAGCTCTGCCGGGTGAGCGCCTCGTCTGGCATGGCAGGCAACATCAGTTATTCCGAATCATCAGTTATTGCTTGAAGGCCTTGAGTTATTACAGGGTGATTGAAACAAGTGCCACTATCCGTTTAGAATTTCCTGGCCTGATTTCTGAGTTACCGTCATGAGAGAGTACGACACGCAATTGCTGAAGAGTTCGCTTCTCGGCTCCTTACATCAGCGGAGGCATTCTGCTGAGGTCCTGAGCGACTGTGGTTTCCTTCTATGCCGACGGCACACTGCAGGCTGCTGGCCGGTTATGCCATCGCACAGCCTTGCCTTGTCAGCCCTTCCTCACCTCCTGCAGCACCAGGGCTTCTCATTCTCTGCAGTTAGTCTTCCTCACTTCCACAGTTTAACAAAAGCATTAGCCTTCAACTAGCTACAGAAGAAAAAAGAAGTCTACTTACTTCTCCAAGTTCAGCACCGGCAGTTTGCAAACAAAACGAGCCAGGTTAACAAAGATATTCCCTGGAAGAAAATGACAAACATTTACGTAAGGTTTCATATAGCAGATTCAAACCGTTTTTATTTAATCGCCCTCAGTGCAGATAACGGACTCTTAAACTGCCATTTTGAAAAGAGAATAATTAAGAATTAAATTCTTTAGTCATTTGTGTCACTGACAGATGTGTTTCATGAACCCTGCGTGCGCGTGCGCGCTGCGATGGACTGGTGTCCTGTCCAGGATGTACCCTGCCTTGCTGGCCAAATTAGGCTCTGTTACATATTGTGGATTTGAAAACGGATCGATGGATTGTGTTTGATTCAAAGACCTATACTGCAAAAACTATTTGCTCCAGAGTAAACAGATCTCATACAAATTCAGATGTGGTAAACAGGGTTTCACAAGCAAAGGCAGTACACACAAAGAACCACAGGCAGTGGGACACCTTTTTCCCTGGCTCATCCTACACAGAAGAGCACATTAAGCCACAGTGCAACTGGAACGTGTTGGAATCGGGAATCACTTGTGTGCAGTCTCGGGACATACCCCCCATCTCCTTGAGCAGATCGCAGACAGCAGCGGAGATGTCCAGGTTGCTGGTCTTGTTCTGCTGCTGCTCCTGGCCCTTCTTCTCGTTCCTCTCCTTGCTCTCCTGGGCCTGTTCTCCGGTGGCCGGGCCACGCCCGGGCCCTCTCGGAAACCGGCTGGCTTTTTTCATCTTGAAACTTTTGAAGGGGGCAGTCGGGCCGTCCCCAAAACTGCGCTGCAGGGCATCGGCTGAGACGGAGAGCCGTTTGCTGAGGGGACAAGGTTCTGGCAGATCCGCTTGACCAGGGTGCCAGTCGGGCCGGAGTTCCCTGAATTCCAGGTTAGAGTGGCTCGATTCTGCTGCACCAGCTCCGCCTGGCCAGGGGACTCTGGCAGACCCATCACCTGCTCGGGCGTCTCTGTTTCTGCTGCTGTCTGCTGGCTCTTTGGTGTGGGCGCTGGGGAGGCTGGCAGGACAGGAGCCAAGGACGTCTCCGGAGCTCCCAGTGTCCGTTTCCAAGCCCACACCTGGGCTGTCACCATCCAGGCACTGTGGCACCCCATTGGGGCATTCAATACCATCTCTACTGCCACCCTGAGGATGACAAGCAAGCCACTGGGTACCAGGTGAGTCACATTCCCTGAACCACACACTTTATAACTGGCAGCTGCACTTCAAGTGGCAGACTAATGCAGACACCTTTCAAAACACAAACCCCAGGATAACAGCCTTCTAAACCATCGCCAGAGTGCGAATGCATTTGATTCTACCATGGCACAGGCAAGGAGATGACTAGGGCACCTTGTCACAAGAACAAACTTCCAATTTTGCCTCGATCAAGGACCTTCTTAAAATGATTCAAAAATTCAATTAAACTTAGAACAGAAAATAAATATATCAATGGAAGTGAAAGATTTTTTTTCTCCCCTACGGCCACAGTCTGTTTCTGACAAAAAACACCTTTGTCTGTGTTGGATCAAACTTAACAAAACTCTGATTTTCTGCTTTAACATCTCAGATGGGAGATGATCCAGTCAGGTCTGCAGTGCTGCACTGTGGTTTTGTTCTTTTGTACATTCTGTAAGTGCTTTATAATGGGCCTGCTCTTCCAGCGGCGGCCAGGAGAGGGCAGCAGTGTGCGGACGGGGCAGGCTGTACCTCCTCCTCCTGTGGTGGGGTGAAGAAGGACACCAGGCTGCACAGCAGGTCCCACATCCCTCCCAGGGGCTCGCCCGAGTGAAGCAGCTTCTCGAAGGGGCACAGGAACTGGAAGACCTCCTGGCTCGACCCCTGCGGGCTCTTCGAAACCAGCTCCTGTGCAAGACAGAGGGGAAAAAAACAACAGAGCTGTGGGACCACTGAACTTTTCATGTCAGAAACGGGGCTCAGGGTGTTCCTGAGATGCGCTGTACCTGTAAAAACTCTTCGAGCTTCGCCCTCATCTTCTCTCGAACCTCAGCATCCGCTGCCTGCTCCTTACTTTCCAGAACATCCGATATTGACGGTAAGTTAGGAGTCTGGAAAAAAACAAACATCTTAATACAGAGCGACAAAATTGACTGTAACCAATCCCTTTAAACCAGCTCTTCCTAATCACAATCCCCCTGTCCACTGCTGATGGACTTCACTCCAGCTAGACTCTCGGTTACTTAACCGGCCCTTGTTTGACCCAATGACTTTCTTAATTAGAGCATTTCAAATGCTTCCGCCTTCTGAAATTTGAAGGTGTCGGAGTGCGAAGTCGTTCGTCTGCTGGATATCTCACTGGTGGTGGTTTCCAGACTGAAAATGTGCTCCTGTGATTGGCATGAACCCACCCCTCACCTCCTGCAGACTGTGATAAAGGGCCTGGAAGTTTCTCAGGGACTTCCTCACGTCCCACTGCAGAGCATCGGCATTGTCCTTCTCCTCCAGGTGCACGGTGAAGATCAGCTCCTGGTTCTCCTCCAGGACCTGCAGTGCAAGACAGAGGCTCCGCTGGAGTCATACTGGGTGGGCAAAAATGATGACAAAGCTCCAGAGATTCGCTGTCTTCAAGCACTAAAAATTTAGTATAGTGTGTATTTTTTCACACTATGCAGTTTAGACATACAGTAGGGAAAGGGTGAGATTAATCAGCCAGGGCTCTCACTGCAAAACGGTGACCCCCTACGACCTCATGCAGACATACAGGGCAGCGGGAGAGAGATCCGCCTCTTGTCCAATCAGCACTCCTGCAAGGGGCTGTGCTGCCTGTGTGCAAAGGCAAGTGGATGGAATGTGGGAAGGAAGGCGGGGCTAGAGAAGGCTCCACCCCCACCGTCTCCCATGTGCGCTCTCAGGCTACATCTCTATGTGTCGAGAAGAGAAACAGAACTGGCTATTCCAGATTGGGTGGGTTGTTTGCAACAATGATAACTAGCCATTCTAAATTTAAGAAAAAAAGCACAATATTAAGTCACACATTTATACAATCAATACAGGTTTGGTTTTGCAAATCCAATAATAGATAAGTTTGTCACTCAGGGCGTGACGCCATACCTCAGTAACCGTCACCTTCCAGGATCCAACACACCACATTTCGTAGGGCAGCTTGAACTCCATCATGTCCTCGGAGAAACTGTCCATGCTGTCAGTCTCCAGCTCTGTGCCTTCCTACACTCCCACACGGACAACACAGTATCTTTAGTGCGCGTCAGTATTTCATCCAGATGCATCTAACATAGAAATGTCTATTTCAAGTCCAGAGATCAAACTCTTTCGTCACCTTCCTATAGGCACACTCTTGTAGTCTAAATCTTTTAAGCATGTTCAATAATATTCCGATTTAAATCACACATATACTGCAGGGTTTATTTAAACAGAGGAATGCCACTGCCAAAATACCTGAAGCAACTGATATAAAATGCTCTCTGTGTCCGTCAGTTTCCTTCTGGTCAGCTGTAGGTGATCAGTGAGAAGAAGACAGATAGCAAGTCTCTTACACTACAGGAGTCGTCCTGACTGGCGGTGGACTGCTCCTCCAGGTCTTCGGCAGACTGGCTGGTCTGGATTAATAGTGACCTGGGCTCCAGGCCCCCTGCGTGGTCAGAGCCATCGCGCTGCTTCTCACACGCCACCGTCTTGCGCTTCTTCCTGTCCTTGGGCTTCAGCTTCTGGAGGACCTTAGACAGGTGCTCCTTAATCTTCTGACCTGGGCGAGGAACCAACACAGTGCAGAGAAACTTTCGAATGCTCCACCAAGCTTGTGGGCGCACTTAAAAGGGCACTTAAAAAATCTAGCAAACATGTCTGAGAACTGTTTTGACCACCTTAGGCTTCATGACATTTTTCAAACAAGCAACACAAGCAATTTAGCCAAATTATCTTCTCTCACTGCAGCCCTTCTGACATTCTCTCACCTTTCTTCTTCTTATTGGGCTGATCGTTCAGAGCGCTGTCTGCACTCTCTGCCGTTCTGGGAACAAACCGACACAAAAACATCATGACACCAGATGAAAAATACAAATTTGCAAGCGCCTGTGTCAGAAAATGTTAAGAAAAATAGGTTCTTATGGGAGAAATGTAACAACAATCAACATCAATATTTTAATTTTCTAACTTTACTGTATGTTATCCTAAGATATTCGGTTATTGAAAATACCAATAGTTGTAGCACAGGTTTTTGTACATTGAACTTTGAGATTCCTCCTTTGTTAATTATAAATAACAAACCCTGTATTTTAGGAGTTGACTTGGATGACAAAAATGTGGATGGAAAAAAAAATGAGAAAGATGCCATTCAGTAACATGGGATCTCTCTACAAGTCTACGATTTCCAGTGAGAGAGGGCTTTACTTTCAAGTTTTAGTTGCATTACTTGTGAAATAATTAGTGTTCTGGTAGAGAGGAAGGAAGGAAAATGAGAAATGTTGACAACGTTTCGAGGAACCAGTTTAAACATTTCTATTGGCCTCTTTTACCTAGGAAGCCACTGGAGAACTGATTCTCACTTGATGAGACCTGGAGTATGACCTGGAGACTCGTTTCTACAGCAGGGTCTTTACCGGAGCGATCCGAATCAAGTGCCTTGGCCATGGCTACCACAGCACCTGTTCGGAGCCTGGAGTCCAGACCCTGCTGACGTGAGAGCGCGGCACAGAGGAGGAAGCTTGCACAGACACTGGAAAAGCGACCCGTCTGCTCCAGGGAGCAAGTGGTTTCACTCACTCTCCTCCCCTGTGGTCTTCCCGTCCGGGACACTCCTCCGGCTCTGCGCTGGCCCTCTCCTCTGCAGCACTCTGGGGCAGGACAGTGTCCAGGCAGCTCACCACCAGCTGGTTCAGGTTGTCAGGGGCTGAGAACCACCTGACCAGCATCTGCAGTACTGATGGGAAAACAACCAAGGCCACATTACAGACCAAGTCGGCAAGCCTCTCGTACTGTAGAGGAAGTCTTTATCGGAGGCTAACAAAGACTTTCTGTCCAGCCAGCCTGTCTGTATCCAGAGTGAATAGCTGCAATAAACTGGAGAACTTCATAAACAGCACATTCACCACATGGAGAATGAAGACAGTGTCTGAATGGCAGGGGATTCCAACCTGTTCTGGCTGTAAAGAAACTACAAGTATCCAACGCTACTGCTGCTGGGTTGGATATTTGCTGTCCAGTCTTCCTCCGAAGGAAGAAGCGTCCCTTTGTTTCTGATCACACCAAACCCATCCAACCTCTTTTTTTTCCTATCACAATAAACTTTATTTCATGAAAAACCTCTCACAATAAGTACACACTCTAACAAATGATTAAACGTACATCAGTGAAAAACTTTCTGATTCGGGTGATTGTCCATTATCAATCAGTGCACGTGGATGATGGGGCTGGATCTGCACAATGAGAGAGTCCCTCCAAGCCCCACCACTCTACCACTTCCCCGTCTTCTCGTCGTTTCCCTGTTCTCCGCCGGAGCTCAGGGGACTGGGCCTAAAGTCCCTCCCAGCGCTCCCTCGCCATCCAACCTCTTTTACTGCACTAGTCCTGGTCAGCCCCCAGTTCCCAATGTTCCCAGTGCTCCCAGGCCAGACTCACAGGTGAGGATGGGGATGCAGATCAAGCCGAACCCAGAACCCAGGTCCCACCTCTCCAGTGACCGCAACCCTGCCCGGTTGACCACACGGCCTGCTGACCATCGATGGGGTTCCACACCCCAAGCCGCCTGACCCCCCCCTTCTGAGAACCCGTGCATCATGGGTAGCGCGCTGTGCCTTTAGGAGTGTGCGGAGGAGGGCCGAGGCGCTCACCTTTCAAAGCCACAATTTCGTTTAAGACGCACTGGATGCACTCCTGGCGCCAGAACGGGGCAGGAAGCAGGTTGCGGACCAGCGCCGAGGCGAACGTCCTCAGAACGGCCAGCTCCTCCGCGCGGGACGGGAACAGCACCCTCCTGACGGGCACACGGGCACGCACACAGCGGGACAAGAAGTCAACAAGGATGGTTATCATCTCCAGTATTTATGGTACATTAACTCTTTAGTTACACTATACCGGAAGACAAATCTACATCCAATAAAAAAGCGATAATGTCAAACTTTTTTTGTTCATCGGGTCAACTTTGCAGCTTTAAGCCCTGAAAAACACAGGCTTTTACAACCAAGTGCCTGGCAGAGCCACGGATTCAGGAGCGACACACAGAGGAAATAAAACACTCTCCAGAGGAAGATCTCAACTGGCACGGAGTCCTTGCGTTTGGACAGTGAAAGTGACACAAAGAAGCCGAACACTAAACGTAACCAGCGCAGTCAATCTCACACAGCACACCGCCCCCCGGAGACAGCCCAGGCGGCTGCGTCACCTCTCCTTCTGCTTGGTGTTCTTCAGGTGCTGGGTGAGGATCCTGAGGGAGCCCACGCAGAGAACGCATGTTTCCATCTTCCAGGCGCGGGCGATGATGTACTCCACCGCCAGGTCGAACTCCCTCTGCAGAGCCTCATAGAGGGGCTGGCCGTCCTCGGGGGCATCATACCAGGCCAGGATGAACTGTGCGTACACGCACTGGAATACTGGGGAACACAGAGCACGCACACTGGAGTACCGAGGAACA